ACACTCGTAAATCTAAAGCCCCTCCTACACGGGATATTGCACTCGTTCACATCATTACTCCTAAAGGCCGAATTAGACGGTACGATTTTCGCCTACAACCATCGCATGCAACCTGTTAAGACATGACTTAGGTTAGATCCACACGCCTACCACATTTTACCTACAACTCGCTACGTGTCTTGCATCTTTTTTGAAGTAATCGGCTTGTTTACAGTTGAATAAAACACTTACTTTACTCCAGAGACCGATTAAAAGATCAAAGTCTTCATCAGTAAAACTAACTTTATCTTTTTTTGTCTTCGTCTCACTTGGTGGGTTTGTTTTTGTTGGCAAAATCGGTTTTGTTGTTTTGTCCGACATTTTTATCGCCCCACGGACTCCCCCACAAATTTCCCCACAGACTCCCTCACGGTAGGGTATTTTGTTCAAATTTCGCTACGACTATCGCAGGATTTTAAAACACGTTTTAAAAACTCTACAAGTTTTTTGTAGTCGCACACAACAGACTTGAGTGAGTTGTAGGACAGAATTACACGACACAACTCATGTCGTAAGTATGACGTGAACAGGTTGCATGCGATGGTTGTAGGCGAAAATCGTGCCGTCTAATTCAGCCTTAATCTTCCACTTTCCACTACCACTAATCTTTAATTGTTCTCACGTAACAGGGCTTTGATGATTTTTATTAAAAAATTAATTAGAATTAGATAACTGTCATAGTGATTTATAATCTTCAGTAAAACAATTTAACGAAACAGAATGGGTCTCGTTAGTTTGAATTTTGGTTGGCATGGTTGGAAGATTAAGTGTGAATTTTTGATTAACATCAGTTTTTGAATTTACTTCCAATTTAATTTTTGTATTTTCATTTCACGTGTGTTTGAAGTAAAAGAAAGTAAAGAACGAGAAAAGAAGGAAAGAAAAAAGAAAGAACGAAAGGAAARGAAAGGAAAGGAAAGGAAGRAAGGGAAGAGAAGGAAAAAGAAGTACAGAGAAAAGAAGAGGAGGAGGGGCGATAGAATAGAAAAGAGAAATGAAACAATGCAAGGAAAGGACAAAAATACAAAGTTAGAGAAAGGAAAGAAGGTAGGGAAGGAGGGAGAGAAGGAAGAAGAGAGTAAAAGCGAAAACTAGACTATCAAGCAGAAGGTACAGGAAAACAAAAAGAAAAGATAGTAAATCTGAAATATAATGAAAACGAGAAAAAGATATCAAAGTTTAAATAAAAGCTACAAAACATCCATTAAAGGAAGAAGTTGTACCAAGAGGTTAATGATAGCACTTAATGTGCTTCTTTGCTAGATGYGAGTAATACTTGTGAAGATGCACTCAAACGCTCTACCAATCTATGCCAACGATGGAAGCAAGATGGATTGTGTGGAGAGGCAAAAGTAAGAGCCTTCTGTTCAGAATCCTGTAATCTCTGCCAAAATGAAGGTAAAAACAAACAAGACTTAATTTCTAGTTGGTTAGGCTTTGTTTACGTAGGGCTTTTTATTTTTACTGTTTTATTTTTTACGACATCTGTTTTACTTGAATAAACTAGATGAAGACGGTTCCGAGTCTGGAAAGCATCGTTCTAAAGGCCGGTTTAGACGGTACGATTTTCGCCTACAATTATCGCATATACAACACGCTCGCGCCATCCTACAACTCGAGTCGTATCGTGTAAATCAAGCCTACAACTCGCCTACGACAGACGAGAGCGTGTTGTATACGATAGTTGTAGGCGAAAATCGTACCGTCTAAACCGGCCTCTTATAAATCCAAGTTTTGGATCCAAGACGACGAGATGTAGACTTGAATAAAGTCGAAATATTGTATTTCTACATTTCGTCGTCTTKGATCCAAAACTTGGATTTATAACGATGCTTTCCATACTCGGAACCGTTTTCATCTTATTTTACTTAAAACTGTCAGACCGACATGGTTTACTTTTTTACTTGGTBTTGCATTTTCTTTGCACTTGTTTTTCCTTCTCGCTTTTTGAGCTTTTATTTATTTTAACATTGTTTTTACTGTGACCTCTTAATCTTGAGTGTAATATTTTTCCATTCCAGTCCACGTGTCATTCTCTTGAGAATAAGATTATTTGCTTTGTTATATCCATATTGATGATGTCTTTTCATGCGCAACCGTTAAACGAAGAAATGACACTCTAGAGAATGACACGTGGTCAGAGTACGACGGGTGGATAGCGCTATCCAACGGATAAATCCTTATCCAGTGGACAAGTCGATGCTCTTATCCACTGGATTTATCCACTGGATAAGATTTATCCGTCGGGTAGCGATATCCACCCTTCGTACAACCGGGCCCTGGAATCGAAATCCGAGACCCCAGAAGTGAGAGGCGAGTGCAATGACTACCACTATACCACCAAAGTTGATTCCCATAGTACATGACTAATGTAATAAAAAAAATTATATTCCTAGGAACTTCTGGTGAAAACGAAAACGATGCTCCCAGCAAATATCTTGGTTGTTTCAATGACGGCGTGAAGTCGGAACTCAAACTGATGTCCCTTCGTTTTCCGATCACTGTACGAAGTTGTGTCGGAGCTTGTCGGCTGAACAACTTCAGATACGCTGGTCTTCGTGCTGGCAAGTACTGCATGTGTGGCAATGATTATGGGTCGTATGGTGAGGTGTTGAAGCGAGATGRATGCTCAAAGACGTGTGGTGGTAGGGAACCCTGTGGTGGAAGTATGGAGAATGCTTTGTACAGAGCA